GGCCAAGACACCAGAGCTGACCTCCAATGTTGTCTGAAGATCTGACCCGAAAACCCACTTGGTAAATATTTGGCATTGCTTAACTAGGGTAAGTGGCCCACATAATTCAACAAAGATGTTGTATTTAACTGTCAGTAACTTGAACTAGATGAATGGCTCGCCGATGGCATTTGCTTTGAGGCCAAAGTTTGAACTCATTTGTGGAGGTCCATTTATCTTGACAGAACCACCGTTTATGAAATAATCAAAAAATGCACCCAACATCCTTAATCTTGTCTCTCGTTCTACAAATTGAAAAATTTATTTTGTCATCTTGTCAATCTTTATTAGGCTGCAAGGAAAATAAAATCATGAAAACAGTTAATTAGCAGAAAAAGAGGATTGAAAAGTTTCCATCAACACAACGTATCTATGATTTAGTTTACTTTGAATCTAAAAGACTCCGAAGAGACCTAATTTATATTTCCAAAATGGAAAACCTTTTTTTTAAAGGTTCTTTTTTCTGAAGTCCAAGTCAACCTCTTTTGTCCCAAGTAGTGTCTAACATCTCTAAGAACTGAAATAAACATTTTGTTATTTGATTAATCAACTATGCCTATAATCTTTAATTATTTAAACCTAATTTAAACCATGAATATCTTGATTTTTGTAGAAGAATGGGCTTTATTATATTAATAGACATTTATAAAACCGCTGTTAACCGTTTCAAGAATTATTATTCACTCAGAAAATTAAACATGCATTTATGATTAAAAATGTTGCCTTGTAGCAGGAAGGTCTTTGGTCTTAGATCCCAGCTTGGGGTCTTTCTACAAAGTGTTTACATGTTCCTAAGACATTTCATCCCAGCACTGCGTGTCCAGAGCCCGTAACACTATCAATGACCCCTCACACCCCCACCATGGATTGTTCTCCCTGCTGCCCTCTGGGAAGAGGCTTTGCAGCATTTGATGCAGGTCCAACAGATTCTGCAGCAGCTTCTTCCCCACTGCCCTCAGAAAGCTGAACTGTTGTGAAAATTCTAAATCATGTCACCGACTCTGCATTGCACTGATAACGCCTATCAAAAACTGCATATTTGCACCATACAGGGAATGCTTCGGTGGCGCAGTGGTTAGCCCATGTACAGTGGCCTACCCACGTTTGTATCAGACCTGTGGTCCTTTGTGGCATGTCTCTCCCCTTCTTTCATACCCCATTCCTGTCAACTTGCTGTTGAAAAAACGAGCCACTAGTGTCGCTAAAAATACAAATATTTGCACCATACGTATTTAATGCTCTGAACTTCCATTCCATATCAATGCGATATTTTGCAGCATGTTTTTTTTCCACACACTGTTTACATTTGTTCACTGCTGCACTTTAAGGCATGGAAATGTTATGAAAGCGGTACATAAGAAAATTTTGTTTTGCATACACTCTGTGTACAAAATGACAATAAAAGTTGTCTAAGTCTCTTCCTGTTCTTTATAGGTACTCCTTCCACAGTCCTATGACAAAACTGTTAACTGGTGACTCTAAATTTCCCTTAACTGAGTGTCTGGGAGACTGTGAGGGTGTGCCCTTCCTTCCATCCATAGACTGCTAGAAATAGGCTGCACCCCGTCCCATGACCCCCACTGACAAGCATTTATGGGTGGATGGTTACCAGTGGCCTGAATTTAGAATGTTTGAATGGACAAAAAAGGATACCGACAGGTCTTTCACCGTTGATTGCAAAGGGTACAACTCTCTTGTCTTCTCAGCAGGAATTTGGGTCAAGCTTTTATTTTTCAAGGTGAAAATATATCTCAAATCAAAGAATAAAGTCTTAAGTACTGGCAGTAAACATCCAAGTCATATTTTGCGTCTTTGAAGTGTGACTGGTCCTTGGTATGCCTTTCCGGCTGTCTGTGTGGTCATCCTTCTCGAATCGGTGTTGGGGCGCGCCATTTTAAAAAACCGAGTAACAACTACAATGGACAACTACTACGAAAGGTTAATCTGTCTTCTTGCCAACTCCATTAACAGAACCTGTTCCTCTTCGATATCTAGCAACTCTAGATCCATCCGTGACCATGATATTTTGCAGACGCACCATTGTTGTTTTGAAAGATAAACACTACCGCCAGCACCGCCGAAGTTCTTGTGACCATCCGCTGAAGTTCTCGTGAGTTCTCAAATAGGCTCTCCCTTGCGCTTTGGCGGGAAACTGCTGCACGTCCCTAGAAATTCCAGATCGATGGTGCCAAAGGCGTAATGACACAACAATAGGCCCATAAGCAACATTACCTGGGTGGGCCCCTTATAAAGTACAACACGTGATAAAGGTTCAGGATACGGCGACAGTTCCATAAATTGGCCAAGAAGATCCAATTATACAATTCTTCGTAGTATATGATCACACATCACACCCGGAAAAATAGTGACTGCGCACCTTGAATGGAACCATTGGTGACATAATGCTATAATGTTTATTGCTGTTTTAAACATATTATATGAGTGCATTTTTTACCAACTGTTTAATGAATCTTAAACAGTTATTAACATAGTAACTAAAAGTACCACTGTTTGCTTGGCTATTGGTGTCGTGTTTGAACGGATCACCATCATGTTGAAATCTGGCATGTGTTGCGCTATAACTATGGTATGGTGCGGTCAGTCTCTTCAGGATCAGGTGGGTTTAAGAGGAATTTTTCGCTCCACTACTTCTGCAAAGAGTCTTCCTAGTCTACAATTTGCATAGGGGTGCTATCAGGTGTCAGTGAAGGGGCACCTAAGAACTCGTGGGCCCTGCCGTTGAAGCAGGATTTGCTCACACTGCGCATGTGCAAACAAGTGAGTTCTTCTTCTTCCAAATTGACGAGTCCAACCAGCGGCGTTAGGCTGTACTGTGTGAGAGCATGCATCGGGAGTTGTGAACTTTTAAACTCTGTGGTTACTTCCTACAGTTTGAGCTGAAGCTGAGTACAACGATTGAAAAAAAAATGTACAGTCTATATCCGGCTTAAGTCTGTTCTCTCTGAGCCAGATTGTACAATTATAAAATAAACGCAGACTTATTAATGTATTTTACAACTGATATAAAAGAATGGACAACATCTGACCATCATTCCAAAAGGTATTTCGCATTTTGGCAATTAAGGAATGTAGATGAGTAAAATTAGTAATATCTAAGCATTTAAGTAAGTTTGGGGAAAATGTAGCTCAAATAAATGTATTTCCATTATGAAAAATTTAATCTAATGCTAATTTATATAATGTCGTAGAACAATACAGGATTAAAAGCTCCTGCAGACAATACATTGAAATTATTATGTAGCTAAATTTTAAACGATCAAAAAAGAGCAACGGTTGCCAAAAATAAATGTTTTGATGACATCTCTAGCACTGATTTGTTAATGCAAAACGGGAAAAGCAGCTCATGGGAAAGTGCAGCAAAGTCATTTTACATTATTGGGATAAATTTGAAAGATTTTAAATATAAATAAGCAATGATTATTTAAAAGACAGATGTTGTAGATCTTCTAACGCTGTTTAATTTCTAATACTGTTTTCTTGTTGGTAAGAGAGGCAAACAACTCCTGGGAGTGTTTAGCGAGTTAGCTTCCCACAAATTAGGTCAATTTGAAATGCTAAGATGATGAGCCAATGCTTGTTCAAACATAAGATTTGGCTTTATTCATATACTGTGTCTAAACAAAACATTAATAAAATAGTCAATATAGTAAGATGGTGTTTCTCTACTGTAGATTTAGTGTGGATAATTAGCTCCATGTCTAAATTTACATTAATTATAGCTGCAAGGTTGAAATTAACAACATCTATTTAGTTTAACATTTGAAGGACAGCAAAAAGTACATTTTGTTTGTACAACTACACATAATTTTAAAATTAAAGCATTTATTTAGTAAATTAGGCCTTTTAATCTATCTTAGAGACAAAAGCAACAATCTCTATGACTAAATATCTGAGCCTTTAGAAGTGAAACAGGACGGATATGTTAAAATGTTGTCTTCTATATTTTTTAAACACTGACTGAGATTATTTGTAAGGGTATGATTGCAAAGTCATGCAATCGTATAAGCAGCTAACTTAGCTTTTCACTGTAATATGTAGAAAAATATGGAGTGAATTTTGTTCCATTATTGTTGCAAGAAAAATGTAAAATTTAACTTTGATTGAAAAAAAATGTCATCCACAATGAAACTTTGAAAAATTACTTAATTGAAATAAGGTTAGACAGTAACTTTGTGGTTTTTTATTATTTTTTCACAATATTTGATTTATTCTTTGTTTTGTAATATCTTATTTTTAAAGTTCTATTTGTCCAGATTTAATATTTATTTTATATTTTCAAATAAAATGCTTCTAATTTCTGTTCTTTAGATGGAGTTTTACGAAATGCATTATTTTCAAATTGTGCTTTACAGATCACATAATCTTTCCCCAAATAATTGCTCTTAAAAGATGAACACATTTTATTTTGCTAACATCCATGCAGACCAATAGAAATGCATCTTCACTCCTTACTCCAGAGGAAATCCCGCCCCTAGAAGTAAAGAGAATGTGATCTGTAAAAGGCAATTTGAAAAGGATTAAATTAGTAAAACCTGAAAACCAGAAATTTGAAAAAATATCTACAGTAAATATACTTTCTGTGAATAAGAATATTTTAATGAAAAATATGTAAAAAAAAATCTGACAAAACAGTAAAGTTACTCTAAAAACTATTTAAAAAACTTTCTCGATTGGGTTTTTTTTAAATTTCCATTTACAAAATATGTTCTTTAGTTACAACAATAATGGAACAAAAGTCACTATATAGAAACTAATCCTGCCAAGAAAGATTTAAAAAATTTGCATGATGCAAACTGAGTCATATATTTTAAAGATGTCTCTTAATTTAGAGGCAAGAATTTGGCTGCCTGTTTTTACAATTAAATGAATTACATAAAAGTGAGCTGTGGTGGAAGTAAAATCCCCTCCCTGGCCCTGGGGACAGGTCTGAGGGTCCTTACCAGCCCCTCCTCCCCGGGCCGCAGAGAGGTAACTGCCAGGTCATTGCCGCTTTCATCGAAGGCGTTGATATCGATTCCCCAGTTGGTGTGGGGCTGTTTAAACCAGTTCTGCAACACATGCTTGAAGTCAATGCTTTGCCAATGGCCGGCCCTGGAGTTGAGCTCGATCTTCAGGGAACGGATGCGGATGTGGCGGCTCCCCTGTTCCGTGACTGGCTTCAACCGCAGGATCTGCAGGTAGACGGTGGAGGTCTGCTGCAGTGGTCGTAGATACACCCATAGCTGGGCCTTCAGTACCTTAGTGAACATCAGTTTAGGGCTGAACTTGAAGAAGCAGCAGCTGGGCTTCCCATTCACCTGCACAAGGGGCTCCGCTGTGGAACAAAACAGAGATCTGGTTTTAATTTCCAAATCTGGTACACAAAGAGAATATGACAACAAACTATTCAAAAATTCAATAAATATCGCATTTAGTTGGCTTGTATGATAGTTTATAAATATTTGGATTCTCTTGCGGTGATAAGTAAGTGGAGCAATAGAGAAAAGGTTGCTGATACATTGGACATAAACACTAAATAGAGTTATCTCTATGGAGTGAATGTTGTTGCTTTATTGTCGCAAAGCAATAAGGTGTTTTGTAAACAGGAATCTGAAAAAATTTAAATTTTGTAAAATGGAGCCTAGGCGGAAGTTCAACTGAATAAACTGATTACTCGCCTTCATCCGCCTACGACACAAAAGCCAATAAGCATCCAAGTTCATCTTAAAAGGCCACCGATCCGCAACTCGTCTGCTAACTAGTGCGCAGGCGGTGGTTGCGCTGTATGACTTCATTCAGATGACCCCGTTTTAACCAACCTCCATGCCCTCCTCCACCATCGTAGCTAAAGCTTCATTAGAGTGTCATTCTTCCCGGACTCTTACTGCATTTCACGTCTCATTTCAACCGGTCCGGCAGAAGACCGCCATGTTGAGCCTGGTTCTGCCAGAAGTTTCTTCCCTGATGGAGAGTTTTTCCTCTCCAATGTCGCTTCATGCTTGCTCATCATGGACAGGTTCTCTTAACCTGTGTTATCCAACGGGACTTCCATCTTCCAGGTCCCTGAGTGAAGCTCTAGTATCAGCTCACGCAGTTCTCCCCATAAAGCAGCAGACCGTCTCTCTAACCAGCAGTCTACAGACTGACCAACTTCATCTATCTCCACTCCAACACAAGTTTCAGGCCTGGGGGGGAAACAGCCCTGTTCTTTACTCCTGTTCATGCATATCTATCAAAGTTCAGTGCTATGTTTCCTGTTGAGGTCTGAGCGCCAAAGACTAAGTAATTGTATCAATAAATTTCATCTAATTGCGTTTTCTCTCTGTGCAAGTTTTTCAGATTGAATTTATATAAAAAAAAAAATAAAAATAAAAAAACAATCTTTGGATGATTTGTTTTTTGTTTTCATATTTCATATTGAAATTATTTTTCACATATCATCTTCTCATTTTTTAACTTGTGTTATAATTTTCCCCCCCCAATTTTCTGCTTTTCAGGTTGAGTTTTACACATTGCATTCTTTTTTTTTTTTATTTGTGATTTGTGTTTTACAAATCCCATTCTCCTCTCTTCTAGGGGCAGGATTTCTTCTGGAGAGAGGAGCGAAGAAGTATTTCTGTTAGTCTGCTGGACATCAGCAACAATCAACAAAATTTTTATCAGTTAATATGCATTTACATGGTAAAAATCTGTATTGGGCTTGAAAAGAATATAAACAAAAACTCTAAAAAACAGAAATTTGAAAACATTTCAAAATATGAAATCTTTCAATGTTTTTCTTGAAAAATAGAAGAAAGTATAGACTGTTTTGGAATGGAAAATGACCAAGACTGCTTGCAGAAGTTGTTTTTTTTTTATTTATTTTATCTATCAAGCCCAAAGGCCAAACACAGGAAACAGGCTGGGCAAAGATTCAGCCAACAAGTGGATCATAGCTCTGGAGGAGCTGCTGGCAAATAACAGGAAGAACCTGTTTACAGGATTACGATGTGAGGCCTGTCTTAAACATTTATACTTCGATGTATCATGGTAAGCTTTTCAGAAAACTAACATCATCGCTCATTTTAAACAGTCCATCCTTCCCGTAAAGAGTCATGGTGCCGGCTTCCTGTTTATCAAACTTCATGTGAGCATGGATAGAATCAGAGATGGCAAAAGTACTCACTTTCCGTACTTGAGTAAAAATACAGATACTTGTGTTAAAAAATACTCTGGTAAAAGTGGAAGTACTGATTAAACTTCTTTACTCAAGTAAAAGTAACAAAGTACAGGCTTGTAAATTTATTTAAAGTATAAAAGTAAAAGTAGAAACCACTTTTTTCCTGCCGTTGCCTACATTTTAAATGGATGTCCCTATGGGGCCAAAATTGTTGCTTTATTATTTCCAAGTGTATGTGGAGAGTTGTACATCTGTATCTCGATTTGTGCGTGTGCAGGGGGATTTGAAAATGTGTAAATGAAACTGTAAATGTGTGAGGAGATTTGTGTGTCTGTACAACAATCTGCAAATGTGCAAAACTACTTGTGTGTGTGTAATCTGGTTTGCAAATGTGTAAAAAATCCACAAATCTGTCTTCAGATGTGCAAATATGTACTGAGATTTACAAATCTGTAGTAAGATTTACAAATGTGTAGAACAATCTATAAGCACACACAGAGACACTGTGTCCAAAGTATTTTCGCTTCAACACTCAGAAATACAGACACATCATTGGTTACAAGTCCAGCGGAGCTGCAGATCTGGGATCTCCGTTGTGTTCATTTTCAATCATCTCGTCGTCCATGCTACTATGCTAACGCTACCGCCACCAAGCTGCAATGATTTGCCGAGAATGAATACCGCCGAATCTGTCGATTCATCTTGTAGTGGTGCGTCAAATGCAATGTAGATTCCCATCCAATTAGATTGAATTTGGTATTGATGACGTGAAAAATAATAACGGTAACTCCATTGAAATGATTCAAAACTAAAGTAACGAGCCAATTTTTTAAAATGTAAGGAGTAGAAAGTACAGATATTTGTGTAAAAATGTAAGGAGTAGAAGTAAAAAGTCGCCATAAAAATAAGTAGTAAAGTAAAGTAAAAATATCAGAAAAATCTACTTGAGTACAGTAACGAAGTATTTGTACTTCGTTACTTCCTGTCTCTGGATAGAATGAAATACAGGACAGTCCTTAAATAAATCTAAATAGAGGTAGCAAAACATCTGAGAATAGGAGATCTAGACTCTAGTTGAACAACAGCCCAGGACATAGAGCCAGAGTTACAATGGGGCAGTGTAGTTTAGTGCATACTCATGTGCTGGGGTGGACCAACCAAAGTCCAGACCTGCAACCAGTTTGGATTTTGTTGCACGGCATGTTTCCTGATAGTCTCCATCCAAACTGACTGAGCTTTTCTATCATACAAAGAACAATTGAGGGACTTTTTTGCATCCAGATGTGCATTCGTTAAAAGGTTTTTATTCAAAAAAAAAGCGTCAATTCAGAAAAACAAAAGCTTGATACATTTTTCTTAATTTCCTGCTTCAGAATTGTGCATTTCTTTACCAAACAGTGTGACCCCCTAGAGCACCACAGAACCCTAACCGGTACAATCCATGGACTTTCTAAACCCAGCTGGAAAGGTAACAGTCTAACCATTCGCAAATATACACTATTCTGAATTCATGCTCCTCTACAGTAGAAAGAAAAAGGAAAAAAGGTTTGCAGGATAAGAAAATGCTGATTCCACAAAGAAAATACCTGCCTTGTGTCTCAATAGTATCATCATATCTGTCATGCACTGCAAAAACATTTAATAGTTTTGTACACAAAAGTTATTTAGTATATTTTGCATACTACATTTTCCATATTCAGACAAAAAAAACAAAAACAAAAAAACAGCGGTATTTCCTTATCCCTGGAAAGGAAGCGCAAAAAATATATATTTAATTTATCTTTCGTCACAGCATTATCATTTCATAATAAAAATAAACAGCAAAAACAGACCAATGTTCAGAAACTATTGTGTTAAGCAAATTAGATAATGTACTCAAGCTTTAAAACATTTTTGTGATATCTATTTTACTTTTTAGTTGAAATAAAAGGCTCTCATATGGAAGAGGATTAGGGCCACTGACAAAATAAAAAAAGGTAACTGATTATTTTTACTTTATTTTTCCAAGTATATGAAAAAAAACAGAATTCTGAGTTTAATCTCAGAATTTTGGATGAAGGAAGGGATGTGGGAGCTTTGCTTGGCTTCACTGACAAAGATGTGAGCTGTTTGGGAGGACCAGTAACATATTGGTGGAAAATGACGGAATTAGGCGACTTTTTACATGTCGAGGGGTCCCTGGTGATGCTATTTCAATAATGGAAGAACAAAAGGTGATTAAAACAAGAGAGCTAGTTTAGTCTGTAAAACAGACATGGCTATGGGTTGATGCTAACAGCAGAATTCTGAGATTAAAGTCAGAATTCTTAAAAAAAAAAAATTAGAATTCAGAAAAAAATTCAGAATTCTGACTTTTTTCCCATATTAAACTGAAATAATATTTGATAATCAGTTAACTTTTTTTTATTTTTCAGTGGCCCTAATCCTTTTCCGCTCAAATTCCTCAATGCCAAAGCAACTCAAATAGAGCTAGCTTCTAGCGGAAACAGACGATGCTACAAAATATGTAAATATATTAAGATAATATATGAAGATATAAACCTTTAAAATGATCTCTTGTCTTTTTTCCTTATTGCTTTATTATCGCAGCTGTTTACCATAAAAACACAAACTACGACATTTTAGTTAGACAGGGGAGAGTTTAATGTTACTTAGAAACACTAAGTTACATTTTCATCTTAATATTTCCTCTTCTAAAGTTCCCCTGATCAGGGATGGATTTAGGAAATTTGGGGCCCCAGGCAAAGACAGGCAGGGGGTCATCTGAATTGAGAAGACAACACATAAAACAGCCCATTATACAGATAGAGAAATTTTAATAAAATAGACATCCATTATTTGTTCTAGGTTTTGTCCCTCTCTTCTTGTCCCTTTTCTTCTTGTTTTCCTCTCTATGTTTTATACTCAGCTGACTTTTCATGCTGTCTCTAAAGGGATGAAAGATTTTTTCCAAGCACTAAGCTCACTTAGCTGATTGCTCCTTCCTGTGTTTCCAAAAAGGCGACGGCAAAAGTAAATAACCCAGTCCTTCTTTTCACTGTAGACAAGCCATGATCTGCTTATCTGTTCTCCATTTTTCATTTGGATGAAATAATAGCTGCATGAATAATGACAGCAGACAAGATAGAAGAGAGCAGGAGGCGGGGTTACCAATCTACTCGCTCTGGAGAGCAGAA